ATTGCTCCGGCTCAGAGCGACGGCAAAACCAGCCCAGAAATCAAGCACCCGACCACCCAATCGATTGAATCAACCCATCGGTCATCCTAAACGCATCAAGAAAAAACGATGCAGCGGCTTTGTGCTAGCCTCTTTCCAACAACCGTGGACTCGGACCAAGGGCCTCTCCAAAAGAAAAGTTGTCTTCCAAAAACCTTCTATCAGCTTCCACGGTGGGAGGGAGGCCACTCCACGCCTTCAGAATCAGCAGAAATCCAGCGCGTCGCGAAAGCGCGCTTGCACTTTCCGAGGTCGCGGCAGGTCGTCCCAAATGTTTTCGTAGATGTGCGGCCAGCGGCACCACCTAAGCACATGGTCGATACCTTTTCTGTGGGTTCTAGCAACTCGTCTTTTTGCCGGGGGAACCTCCATTTATGGTTTCAAGGGGACACCAAATGGAAATTGGGGGTCCAAATCCCTAAAAAACCCACCTGGTCACAGGCCTTCCAATCAGACCCTCAGTCTTCAAGCCCTGACTCTAGGCCACCCTTGCTTAGCAAGGGCTAAAAGCCTTGCTTTTGAATCAAGGCAGTCAATTGGCACATTCACCATTTGGAGCACTCCAAGAAAAAGGACAGCAATATTGGCTCGCCTGGCCTGCCCTATCGATAGCTGGCTGTTGCTCGTAATCAAGTTTTCAATCTAGACGTAAGGCATATGAAACCAATCGCGACATAGGGGTTGCCGATGCGCAAGTCAAGGAGCAATCAAATGAGAGGGGCTTCAGGCGCAGCTTCCTGACTCATAAAACCAGCGCTTGAGACCTGAGCCTTCTCCAAACCTCCTCAAGCGACTGTATCCCGCCACGAACATCATTTGGAGACGAATTTTAATTAGGGGCCCTTTGGTGGACATCATTTAGGTGGGGGTTTCTGTCCACCAACCACTTTTCAGGGGGTTCCCAATTAAGATTCATAGCCATTTGCTTCCATTCCTTGGAATCCGTTTGTGCTGCTGTGGGTGGCTCTAACATCGGGAAGCATCCCAGGCGCCGCAGAATATCCAGCATGACCAACAGACCCTCAATCTGCAAAGCTCCAGCAAAAATGACCAATGTGCCGAAGTCAATCTGCGGTGGATTTATTGCATGGAAATGCAGGCCAACCTTACCTGCTAGCAAGGTCGGACCTTGGCCTACATGTGGGGTACACAGACAGCGATATTTTCAGATTCTGTGTCATATTTACACTGCCCAACATGTGTATATATATATATACATACAATTGTTTCGGAAAAGACCCCAGACTCAGAGCATTTGATTCAACTGGCCAAGACAGGTCAGGCTGGCAAAACCCGAACTGAATATTGCTCAGAGTGTGGACACTAACTGGTGGCAATCAAACTGAACAATCAAGGTACCTGATCAGTGAGGCTCAAAGCGAACATCTTTCGCAGTTTCCTCAAACCACCGAGGCCCAAACAAAACACAAATGATTTGCCAAAGCCCGCCGCACTGACGCCGTTTCTGTGGGGCGCGCTTGCACACGTACAAGTGCTGGCATTCCTGCGGCTGCGAGGGTCCCCACCGAATGAGTACAGAACATGGATCACTTTCATTGGATGTGTCATGTTTGTGGCCGGCATTGCAAGTGTCCATGCCTCACAAGGCGCCTGCCTGAACATGGGTGGTTTTTGAGGGTACCCTGGTTGAAAGGGAAATGAAAGGGAAACCATACATTTTCGGGGATTTTGACACATCGCATACCCATGTGGCGAGAGGGGGATCTGTGGCCCTCTCCCCTTGCATCGTCCCTGGCTTGCCACATCTGGGGTACACACAAGAAGATAACATTCTATCTTCGGACTCTGTTGCATATTTAGTCCACTTTAACATTAAGAAATTCATTGGTGTACACCCGCCAACCCACCCCTCCCTTTAGGACTTCCAGAACCAAACGAGCTTTGCCCTGAGCCCTTCCTAGTCGACCTTTTCGCATTGGCGAAGATGGCCGCCCTAAGGGTCATTCCTTTGGCTCAAGGGCCCCATTCCCATTGGTCAAAATCGGCGTACCTGGGGGTGTCCCATTCCGGTGTTCCGGCCAAGCGGACATTCGGCGAAGGTTTCTGAGAGCCTTCAGTAAGGCCTCCCGAAGTCTCCCCTTGTAAAAGAGCGCCTTGAACATCGAAGGAAGGGGGAACCGGGGGTTACAGCCTCACGAATATATGTATAAATAAATAAATAAATATATATATATATACATAATATGAACATATATATATATATATGTGTACCAGTACATATGTAGATTTCATGAAATACAACATGCTTTTGGAGGAGAGCCCCGATGTGGCCCGAGATATCCGATCGCTCGATCGGAGATGTCCGGGCAGTTCGGCAACACGCTTGACACGTAGTATGGCACCCGCTCCAGGTACCTGTGCCACCACACTCGCTCTCTCTGCCCGCCCGGCCGAAAAAGGAAAACCAAGGGTCACAGCACTTCCTGGCACAGAAGCAGTGGGCAAAACCCTCCGTTGTCAACATAATTCAGATTCCAAAGTGATGCAGCTGTTCCAAGCACCCAGCCTGGAACCCACACGCCAAACTCTCCGAAGAGCTGGAGGCGGGCGAGGCTCATCATGGGATGGTCATTCACCAGCACAGCTGTCACCATGAAACAGAGACTGAATCCTGGTGGCTCGTTGGTCCCTTAAGGGACAAAAAATCGGACGTGTCACACATCCCTCTAAACTCTGGCATGGCTGGGAACTGCCAAGGGCTCACCAAAAAACATCTCGCCACGAACGACGCAGTCCCGCTGTCACCCTTTGACCCGGTAAGGCTCACGGCACGATCTCTCTCTGACGGTTCTTCGGGTGGGACCTGAAGCGCGAAAGCAAGAAATGCTCCCGCATGAAATGAGGATGGCTCTGGTCACCTGAGTGTTTCGCAGCTGCTATTTAAAGGGAATGTAAGCCAAACCCTTTTTTGGGTTTAATTTCAGAACCCCCCGGCCCCGGTTTACTGCACAAACCCAAACCCCGATCCCGGTGGACCTCTGCAAGTCGGAGGTTATCCTCATAGATTGTTCTCGGCACCCTGTTCTGGAAACACGCAGTCGAGTTCATGCACTATGCACTGCGCAACCCGCATGTTTCAAATGTCTTGCCTATATCAAGCACCTGCATCGCCTTGGCTCACCTTGGAATATTTGTGCTTGCTTGAAGAGGCCATCTGGCTCTCTTCGAGATGCAACGCTCGTGAGATCCGGACACACAAAGGCTATTCTTGCAGCTGATGTTCGGAAGGTTGTCGATCCGCTCGGGCACCTGCTCCCACCAAAAGGGCTTCGTTCAATTCGACCTTCTGTCAATTGCCTCTGTGTCCGCTTCGGGAGAAAAGCTCGGCAATCTGGACATTCGAGCCACAAATCCGAGCATAATTCCAAGTGCCCTTCCCAAGTTGTCGAACTCTCCTTCCAGGAAGCCACGAACGCAAGCAGCAGCGTGCTTCTAGAAAAACGTGCTGTCGGTATGTCTTAAACTCGGGGACCCCCCCCCCAACAAAAAAAAAATGGTGTCCTTTGGCTTCGATTGAAACCAACCCCAAGATGGGCACCCGCAAAAAATCGACACCCGAAGGGTTCTCAAGCCGGCCTGCCAAACCCATTCCAAACAAGTTGCCGCTTCAGGCTGGCAAACCGAGCTTGGTCGACAAGAGTCTGGAAATCAGCTTCGCTCTGATTGGTGGTTTGGATTGGTGGTTTGGATTGGTGGTTTGGATTGGTGGTTTGGTGATTAGGGACGGTTCCCATTTACCCTCTACGAGAACCGGGGTTCAACTCCCAAACCACCAATCCAAACCACTGATTAGGGGGAACCTGAGGAAGGACGAAGCAACTTGTCCCTTTGTTTCGAGCTGAAACTGAAACCACACGTGCCCCGTTGAACGGCTGGTTTTCCTAGGTGCACTGAACCCGAACAGGGCTCCGAAAAAGGATGCATCCGAAAAAAAACGTGATTCAAGGGGCATCTTCTTAAACAAAAGCAAAAAAGACCATGGTAGTTGCCAGCACCCCCCAACAACTGTTTCTTCCCATGTCCAAAATCCCCAGTACTGGTGGGTGATTTGTTCACTGGCATTCACGTTGATGTGTTAGTAGTATTACTATCATGTCAATACTATCACAAAACAAAACAAAAACAAAAACGAAACAAAAAAGAAACCACGGCGCTTCTCTTTTTTTTCCCGCGCCTGCAGCCGATACTTCGCCACCTCGGCGCTTCTCCATTTCTCTCACAGGGGCTGACTCGAACGTGGCCCCCGGAAACGGAGGGGTCGCTTGGAATTTCTCCACCCTCGACCTCCACACCCTCGGGGTCGAAAGGTTTTGGGGTGGGCCAACAGTGCCGGTTCAAAAAAACAAAGACAGAGATGGTGCCGGAAGACAGCGGGATCCCGTCCAGCAAGCTTCGACCCTCAAAAGTCGATTTGGGAGGGAGCAACCCTGAGTCTTACATGAGGCGCGCTGATGTCTGGCCGGGTTCGCAAGTTGCTCCTGATTGCTTGTGCTGGCCCCCCATTGTTCTTACTCGAGCCGTTCGCAAGATATTGTCGAATAGGATGCCCATTTCGCCGCTTCCGTCCTCATGCTGTTAGCTTCTCAGGCATGCGACGCCATTCTGCCAGATGTAACATTGCGAACACCGAAGACCGAAGGTGACATCTGCAAATGCATGCTGCATGGCCAGGATCTTTCACGAAGTCAAGCCACTTGCCCCCCAAAACATGCATGACACCTGCCATGCCAATGCACAAAGTGGTGTACCTTACAAATGACAAAAGCACAAGATGCCATTCCGGTCCTCGGCCTGCTGAGAACCAGCATCAACTTGGAAAGCTTCGGCAAATCCAACGAGACACTCTCCACATGCGAATTCACACCCAAGCCCAACCTGATAGGCCAGGGAAAGAAACCAGGCTTCACATGCTGCGTGGAAACCATCTTCATGCCGCTATGCCTATGAACTTTACCGGGGAACGCCCTCAAGAATGGCTGGTGAGCCAAATCCTCATGTAAATGACAAGTCTACCACAGGGTCCCCAAAACACGTTATACCCCTAGGTGTCCCTAGGGAACATGATCTGGCAAAATGAGCAGAAGCAAAGTGAACCCGCCCCTCGCAAACCCTCAAATCACAGATGTCCTATGTGTTTTTCTTTTGGTTTAACCCCAACAAATGCTCTTGTTTATTGCTTATTTTACAAACAAAGAAATACCCACGACATCCCGAAAGCAGGATCCCCGATTTCAGCAAGCCGCTCGCGGCGAGTCGAGTCGATTGGGGCGCCCTGCCACCTTGGAGCCGTTCACGCAGTTGAAGGTACAGCCCGGCGCCACCGACGCCATCATCTGAGCCCAGGCGGAACCGGCTGAACCGGACGGATGGGCCCCAACAAACCCAAAGGATGTGGGTGCCTCGTGTTGTGTGAGAGGTGCCCTGCCCTTTTTGGTTGGCGTTAAAGGGAAACCAAGAGGAAGCCAACCCATGTTTTTGGGGCAACAAAAACACGCCAATGCTGAAACAGCTCTGGCTTACAAGTTGTTTACACATGTTTGAACATGTGAGCCTGGCCGAAACGAATCACGACAACCAATACCTGGGCAAAAGAAGCTACGTCTAGGGTATCAAAGTCAATCAGGGGTGGCTGACCCAATCCCGATGTGACACTCCAACGCATTCTTGCGCCCGATGAAACACACAATGAAGACAAAGGGGCAGGCATTGGCACAAGCAAGATTACTCAACTGGGAACGTGAAACGATCGACAGTTTGATGATGATGATATAAGCTCACAGCGCCCCATGTTTCCCCAAGTCATCCGTTTGAATTCCCGAAAGTACATACACCCCAAGATCAAGGGGTTCACCCTGAAGTTCTCAAAGGGAGTCCCTTTTGGGATAAGGGACACCTTTGAGCCTCGTGTCCTTTTTCGGGAAACCGCATCTAAGTTTCCGCTGGCAAAACTTTGCCACGAAATCGGCCTTGACCTCTTGCACCCGCAAGCACTTGTAGTCGAAGCCCGGCAAGGTGAGGATGCCTCGCGAATGGAGATGTGGCCAAGGCCCAGCATAGCTTACCCTACAAAGGCTTGGGTTGGATCCCATGTCAAACAAAGAAGTTGAGTAAAGTTGAGGCCAGTTTTCGAAATCACATGTTGTGATGTTGCTCGCGAGTTACGAAACCCAAGGCTTTTCTCAAGCGCAATGCCAAGTCGAGTCACCTCCAACCCCTTCAGTGCATCCACTAGGCAAGTCCGATCCTCCCCAATGGACCATACCGGAAATGCTAACCAACAAGCAAATAGTTTTATCCAGTTGACTCATCACCCCGAGTAAATGCAGGGATGAATCGCCTTTAGGAGCTCATCCACATGGTGTGCTGATCCGGCGACGACACTAGAAAAAACAACTGGTGAGAGAAACCGATGATTCAAGCCATCCCGTTCAGCGCAAATGCAAGACCCAGTGCACGCCCACAGCTCTTTTGTCCCGGTCTGATGATTCCGTCCATCTCTGGACCGAGGAAGCACGACATAGAGCTGCGACCAGTTCCAAAACCAAACCAGGACCAAGGGATCCTTGTTTTGCAATAAGAAGCATGCATAAATTAGAGTAAGGAATGCCCAAAGGTCACCGCTGCGAACTGTTTTGGTCGGCCAAAATCCCTGCGGTCCAAAAAGCAGAGGTTGGGACGGGTGTGTCCTTGGACGGTGCCACAGCGACCCCCGGCCTTTGAAAAAGCCCGGGTTGCCCTTCGAGCTGTAGACGCCTCGGACAAATCCACGCTGCTTCGGGCTTGCGGCTGGCGGTTTGAACCTTTTTCAGGTGATTCCCCCTTGCCCCCCCCAAAAAAAAAGAAAACGAAAAGAAAAAACATGTGGCTTTCCTTTTAGGTTCCCTTTAAGAACCACACAAAAAATGGGTGCCCTCAAAAAGACTCACCCATATTTCGCTACTGTAGGCGATGCCCCGTAAAAGCAGACAGTGAAACTTCGAATATGTAAGGAACCGAGAACTGTAGCTCTCGCCCCATTCTTTTTTTTGGATTCCCCTACAGTTGTCAGACCCCTGAGGAGACGCCAGATCAAGTCCTTCCAGCAATTGACGCTCAAGCACCAACATGTGGCTGCACACTATTCGCTTCAAATTGTTTTTGGCTTTGCCGGTGGACATTCTAGCTTGAAACAACCCTTTCTTTCCCAGCTGCGGCAGTCGTAGCTTCTGAAGCTTCCAACCCATGGAGTGTCCAGAGCCAGACGGAGTTCTCCTCAAGATATCTCAGCTTCTGAAGCGCCCCGAAAGCCTTGTGATTGGGTTTCATTCTTCAGGGTCCCAAGATTTCCGGAGACCGATTGCTTCGGGCGCCGATTTCGGGGCCCCTGACAGGGGCAGTGGTCGCCCCCCTCCCCGATTTGCCGAACGGCCCTCGCTGCCGACGGTCTTGGACCAGCCCAGGATGGTGCGCACCTGGCAAAACGGAGCGCCAGATCCAGAACTGCGTGGAACACCTACATACATGTGAAGAGAGAGAGAGAGAGAGAGATATATATATATATAGCATATACATGTGCACATGTGTATATACATATGTATGTAAATATGTATATATATATACACGTATATGTTGCCTTCCTTTTTGTGTATGTGATGCACATATGTATACTCGTATTGATACCATGCATACACATTTGCGTAGTCGTTGCAATGAACCCCTCTATTGGACTTCAAGCCTGAGACAAAATCCCTATGGGCGAACCTCTGGGAGTCGATCAGCTCTGATCCTCGAGCCCAAAACCAATTCTTCGTGGCCAATTCCGGTCCTAGTGATTGGGTAAACAAACGTCAGCTCGGGTTTTTTACAGGCGCTGCTCACATGCTCTGTTGGTCGGCTTTCATTCTGGCAATGAGCAGTACCTCATCGGCACGCAATATCGCATTTGCGGAAATGTAAATATGCCCCCCATGTTTCATAACCCTTGACAAACCATCCCATCAACTACTAGGATTGCTCTGCGGGGATTCCCCTGGTTTTGCAACTGCAACACCTGGCAAAAGGGTAGCGAAAGGTGAGCCACGCCGTCACTCTCGACGGCCCTTTGCGGCCTCGGAACTGATATGGAACCCCAGCCCAAAGACCATCCTAATCAATCAAAGTGTGTCTTTTAGGGCAATGGGTAGGCCTTCCTTTTGGGTGTCCCCTCTTGAAACATTTTACAAAAAGCGCGCCACCCGCCCCCCCCAAAAAAAACAAAAGCATACAACGATTGACACACAGCGCCTTGCGCAAGGCCTCCCAGCACTTGGTGGAGTCTGGGCCGAGGCCTCGTATTTTGCAAGGCTTTAAGACTTTCGGGTTCAGAGTCCAATTTGGAATTCTGATCTTGCATTAGATGTCAAATGGCTGTGGCTCAAAATTAAACTGGAGGACCAAACCGCGGTCTTGGTCCATGTTTCCACTTACCAAGGTTGGATTCTGGTACCGTTTTTTTGAGCCACAGCCAAATACCGGTAGGAGTTCATGTCCAAGTCAGGCGTCAATTAGAAAAATTTAACGGAATTCCGATGTTGAATAAGCTTTTGGATAGGAACTCTGTTCAAAGCAGGACTTTCATTCGGTTGGGAAAAAACGTTTGGATGCGATGAATGTCTTTAGAAGTAGGATTATGATTGGAATTGAGTGATCATTCAAGTGGAGCCTAGTGAGGAAAGACAAGCTGGTTGCTTCTTCCAGGATTCCAAGTTCTCTGATTGGAATCATTATTTGGAATTATACTTCTTTCAGGACTTAAGGAAATGTTTGACCCCTATTTTAAAGGCCTCTGAAGGATCTGCTCTGCATCCTCAAGGTGGGTCTCGGAGTGTGGGGGGGGGGGGTTAGCATGTATATATATATATATGCATATGCATATATCCCACAGGACCTCAAATAAAAGAGTCTGGGGATATATATATATATATATACATATATGTGACCCCCCTCTGACTAAAAACGCTCGGTTTTCCTACCCGACGTAGTATTGGCCGGCAAAAAACTGCTCGCAGCTCTTTTTGGGGCACCTCCCAGAACACACTCTGATTAAAGACGCCCCTGTCCGGCCCAAAAATTAAGAACCAATACTAAAAACATAAATGATAAATTGCCAAAGCTAGTTCCAATGCTTTTGCCAATACTAACTCCTTTGATAGTGTCAAGGATTGCCATTCCAGAAATCCGAAAAACCTGCTAGCAGGAAACAACCATCTTATTACAATTTGTTTTGTTGTTTCAAAAAATGACAAGCTCGTAAAGGGTAGCCCCATCAAGGCTAGACCGCCCGAATAACACAAAACCTGCTCTGATTTATCAACGGGAGCCACAGGTAAACTCCGCAAAATCCGGCTTCCGAAAGTTTGTTGATCTGGGGAGGGGTGCTAATCCAGTTCCACCATGATATCTGCAACCAGCACGGGGGAAAAAAAAACAAAAACGGAAAGCGGGGGGGGGGGGGGGCTGCAAGGGAATTCGTGCAGGCAGCCAGCATCCCCAGGATCACCGGCCAGCTTAACATAGGCAGACCATGAAGTAATAGGGTCTGGCCAGGGATACATAATATATATGTATATATATATATAATCTATATTATATATATATATACATGATATGATGCATATATATGTAGTATCGTGCATACACACACATATTATATATATATATATTCATATTTGCGCCCTTTGACAATCCGGGCTGCCGGGCCCAGGTGATCCAGGACGCAGCCGTCGCTGATGGGCACCGGGCCCCCCGCGCGAGCGCGCTGGATCGAGTCGGATCCGGTCGAGTCGAGACGGGTCGAGCGGAGGGGTCGGTCGGGGGTCGGTTGGGGTGAGGGGTGTTGGTTGCCAGGGGGTTGCTCGGTTGGTGGCTGGGTGAGGGCTGAATCAAGGCTTTCTCAATCTGACGTCTTGTTGGTTCAGGTGGAAAAAAAGCAACACCACGCGGTGTTTGGGGTGCAAATCCACATTCTCATGCGGTTGAAGGGCCTGACCTGTAGAAAGGAACCAAAACGGGAACACCAAAAGGTGAAACGGTCGATTCCCTTCGGACAAGTGAGCACTTGAGTCACGGTCAAATTACTCGTTTCCGTAAGAGTACTGGATTTGTTTCACCAAGCGTCGCTTACGGCGAAAATGAAGGACTCACTGACCCGGAAACCCCGAGCCGTTTTTGGTTTTCAAGGGGGTCTGTGGGGAGGGTACACCAGAGTAGGTTATCAAGGTTGTGAGTGGAACAGGCGTTGGTTGACTTCTGACTGTAGTAACAACCTACTTACCAAGTACCCCCGTACACATGAACGGAAGCAACCCAAACAAGGAGGTGCAACGGAAAGAGACTCCTCCCAAAAACAATGGTTTTGGGAAGGACAACTCTTTTGGTCACGTAAGAGCTAGCATCACACCGCAATTCAGAGGGGCCATTAAACTGTTGCCTTTCCATTCAAGCCATGGCGGTTTAAGCAGTATGTTCAGCCCTCAAAGCAATTTGGAGAAGCCCTTCAAAATGTTTGCTTCAAAGGATCCTTGGTGTTGGACTTGTTTGGCTCCAAAGCATCTTTTTCATGAGCTGGTAGTTCTCAGCTTAAGAACTTCGGGTATTTGTCCGGGCACGGCAGTGTCATGTGGGGCTATAGCTCGTTGCTGTTAGGCCACATGGATGTAATCACGTTCCACACCTACAGATGTCCTTCATCAAAAGACTAAGCTGAGAAGTTGCCCGCTGTGTTTTCCCATTGAAGGGTCCAGTGGCGCGATGCTGCTTGGCAACGTGGTTGGTCCCCGCCTTGTTGAAGACATGGTGTCACGGTGCGCGTTCTTTTTTGGAACACTTCCAGGGCCACCCACGATTGACCAACAAAAACTGCCAAACTCAGATACTGCGTGACCCATTTGGTATGGTTCTGCTTAACCCAAGGCCTGGCCAAAATTGTCCCGAAACATCTGAAGAATCGACTCAAGCGAGCGACTTGCCTCTGGATTTCGGAGATGCGCGTCCTTCTCCAGAGCCACCTCCTGAAAAAGCTGATCAGGAGTTGAACGAAAAGTTGGCTGAATTGAAACCCCAATGTCTAAAACCTAAAATAAGAATCGGAAGCTCGGTTTACCCCCAAATCATTTGACATCAGTGAGTGTACCATAAAATGTATTCAATTGGTTGCCAGCTCCTAGATAAAACAAGCGATCAGGCAACTCTGAATATTCTGGCAACTGCAAAAGAATGGCTCGGCCCTGTGGCACGAGTCACAGAAACAGAACAGACTTGCCGTCTTGCAAAGGCCGCATTTCTTACGGGTTGCCGTTGCTTCTGAAACCAACAAAAATGTGCGCACACGCACACACACAAACACACACACACACACACACACACACACACACACACACACACACACACACACACACACACACACACACACACACACACACACACACACACACACACACACACACACACGCGTGCGCTACCTGAACATGGCCCCAAATACGGGTGATTAAGCTTTTCTGCGAAGTTGGCACCTGTATGCCTGCCTTGATGAAGTAAGGAAGCTCAGCGCTGGCACAGAAGGCAAGCCTGAGCCATACAGATCGTCTCAAAGCTTTCTGGCTTCTTGCGATCTGCAAGGCCATGCCAGATGCTTAGCCCATCCTAGCCCAAGCAGAGCATTAGTTTGCCCCTCAAAAAGGAATCTGCCTTTTGGCCGCCAAAAGGTGACGTCTTCTCCAAGGAAGCCAAATATCGTGTCAAACTGGGGGGGCCGCCAAAGAACAGGTGGTGTCCTTTTGGTTTCCTTCAAAACCCCCCAAAACAGGCTTAAAACAGGCCTCCCAATAGACAAACACATGACGATCCTAAGACGCGGGCTGCGGCCCTCCAACCTAGCAGTGTCCGTCCGATCCAGGAGGTTCCTCTAATGTTGAACCGTATTTTTCTCAACTTCTCAACCAACCAGCTTATTCATAGGGCTTGTGGTGTCCATTTCTGGGTGAAATGTGGTTGGAATCAGACATCACTTTTGCAGGGGCCAAAACCACCCCCTATTCATAAACTGGGGTTGACTAATATGGGATCATCATTACAATGATGTTTTTTGGGGTTCCATGCCAAAATGAACGGCTCTACAATGACAGTGTTTTGGGAGCCCTCCCATGCCAAGAGGAACGAATCACCACGCGGCTGTCCCCCTACCCTTCAAGAGCCTGCGGTGATTGTGGCCCATCCGTATGTGAAATGTGTCAGACTGGGACCTTGTGGCTCGACAGGATTGTTGACAAGGGAATAGCATATGCTCACACGGATTGATAGGCCCTAATATCCTCATGCCTCTCAGAGGTCTGTGCTTTGGTGCTTGCCCATGGCGTAGGGCACAGGGATCTGGAAGGCGCATGGTTGATTCAACTGATTCAGCTCAATGAATGAGCCACAGATGCATTCGGCTTGGTCGCTCAACCCAGCAAGTCTGCAAGCAAATGGGGTATTCATCATACTCACCGAGTGACATCTGGAATCTCAGGATGCAAAACTTATGATCATTGCAACCAGCTGAACAAGCAAGCCTGACACAAAAAATACTGCCGCCGTTATGCCACAAAGAATCCAACAATGGTCGCAAGAGAGAACTCAGAAAGCACAGCTTCGATTGGCTCAGCGCTTTTGAAGTGTCCTGCCTCGCCGCCAGTTAGAAGCCTGGGCACTTGAAAGGCCCTGACTGAGAGACTGAGTGACCACAGCGCCTCACTCAGGCGCTTCAGGACAAGTCATTGATCCGCAATTTCCGCGAATCCCAAAAGCTGAAACACGAAATGGAAAGGAAAGGGACCCCCCCATGATGGTGAGCTCATTTTTCCACCTTTGACCGCGCCATATAGGCAGTGATTCTTCAGATTCTGCCAGGATGCTGTTTGGTTGATCTGCTCGTCGCCTGTGGGCGTGTGTATCTTTCTGATGGTACCACTTTGAGAGTGGCTTTAAAGGGGAACCGAAGAACAACCGCCAATCTTTAGGGTCCCCTACTAGATTTGGGTGGCCCTAAACGCGGTCCAACACATGGGTTCAACCGGATGCTAAATCGTTGTGTTGTGCAAGCGTTCAATCAGAACCTCGCAATATCTTTTCAAGCCCCCCATGCCGACTGAAAAACCACCCAACCTCGAAGTGGTGCCCAAACCCGATTTCCAGACTGCGGCTACGGTCTCGCGGCCAGTTCGGCAACGGGTCTTCAAGGCGCCGAAAGGCCACTGCCAACACTCAAGGGTCGCAAGTTGGGATTGGGTGTCATTTTTAAGCTTCAGGTGACATCCTTAAACATCACGCCACCAGGGAAACTCATAAAAGTGGTGTTTAAACCAGCTGAAAAGGAAGATATGGGCTTGTGTCCAAATCGGGGCTACCCCAAAACTGGTGGTGTTCCTTTCGATTTTTGCCAGCCAAGAAAAGGGCACCCTCCAAAAAACACATAGGAGCCCATAGCGTTTGACGATTCCAATTAAGCTCCCGGGCGAGCTTTCCATGCTGGGCTGCGCGAGGTCCCGCCCGATCTTCCCTAAGCGGCTGAAATGCTGTCAGTCCAACCCGTGTGAACATCGCTTGGGTGCCGGCAAATGGGTTTCTTTCAGACTCTACATGAGTGCGCTGTGCAAGCTGAAACCCCTTGCTTAGAATTGGTGAGCACGCGTACGGGTCGGACAATCGCCTGTCCCAAACACCAACCGACCCTAACGACGCACTTGGATCGCAACGTATATCCTAAGGCACACATGGCGTGAAGCTTCTTAAACTCAGATGCCCAGTGGCCATGGGAAAAAAGGTCATCCTTTTGTGGTTGGTTGACTGTAAAGGCGAACCCTTCCCAAGCAAAAGGAAAAAACGGCACCACTGGGCAACTGAGTAAAGCCTGGGAAAAGCAAGCACAGGACACCAGCTCATCTCATCTGGGCGTGCGAATGGGTCCCTGAATCGTGCGCAGCAGTGGGGTTGTGAATGAAGTTGATAAGACCAAGCCATCAATTCATAACATAAATCCAATGCGTCCTTGCAGAGTGGATTTCTGGCCAAGCAACAAAAGAATCGCCTTCAGATTGAAGCTGGCAGCCAACAAGACTTCTACGTGACAATGCCAACACCATTCGCTCCTAATTGGCCGCCCAGCTACATGCTTCTGAAACCTGCAGTCATGGCGAACGTCCTGCGGAAGTCCAAGCATTCGGGATCTAACGCATTTTTCACAAAACGTCGATGCAAACATATTAAAAGCTGAAGCTTGTGCACAAGAGAATGTGTGTATGCCAGCAACACATATGGACTTCATTTGCTCGAGAAGCCTTTTGTTGCCTCTCGATGTCGTGGGCGGCTTATCTTGAGATGGACTCGTAAGGCAAGCTCTTTCTCAATTTCAGGAATCCTGAAAGGATACATCCAGGATCTTCTAAATCAGCTGAGGACTGTGTAAGTAGACCAAATGCATCAAATCAGGAGCCCTGTCAATGCAGGTGTCTGAGCAAAGCACCGAAGAGCATGCTGAGAAGCACCACATCCAGGAAATAAGCGTTCGCGGCCACCCTCAGAGCTTCCGCACTGCATGTGTCGCTGTGCACGTGTGGTTGTGGTTGCCTTGTCTCTCTTGTGATCTGAAACAACTTGGAAGCCCAATCCGCTGGTAGCTGGCTCTGATCCAAAGGACATCCTCCGTGCGTTGTTTGGCGCTGGCGGCGTGCAGTTTATAAAGTGCATGCTGGTTCCAACCATAGGACCCGAGTTTCCGATTCTCCGCAATCGACCAAAGGAAGCCCGATCTTGGGATCAAGCCACTTCCAGAGGTGGGCGGTACAGTTTGTTGGGTAAAAGTAGATGGCACAACTCCCCGTCTAAGTCTCGCCATCCTTCCAAGCACCCTCCAACCACTGCTTTTTGGACCCTACTTGCGAATTTGGGCATGGGACAAAGCAGTGGTTTAGGTACTAGCTTGCTTTTTCAAACTAAACCAAAAACACATGCCATCCACGTTCACCCATGTACCAGAGAAGTCCTTGAAGTTCAGAAATCAACCCGCACTAAGCTCCAAACGTGTCCCAGCCGTTGATGGAAAGCGTGTCCAAGGACAGCGGAATGATGGGATGCTCCTCCATATCCGGCGCGGGAGAGAGGGAGGTATCGTGAGCGGAGGTCATAGAGTCATAGACGCCCCCGAAAAGGGGACCCAAAAAAAGAAAAGCGAGCCGCCTGTTCTGAGACGCTCGCAAACTGTCTCGTCTTTGACGGTCCCAATCTGAGTGGCGGGTCGGTTTGGGAAACCAAAAGGAAGCCCAGCTCGGGGGTTCCGATTCCGATTTTCGGACGCTTACCAAGGCATTCCCTTTTCGAGTGGGCGGGTGTGCTTCAGAAGTCGGAACAAGCTGAGGCAGTGTCAAAATGTGGGCAGCGTGAAGCGCGTGAATGGTAAGTGAAGCCTCTCCCCCCTCGTTGTGAGCTGTGAGCCCTTGTTGAGCCCGGGTTGCATTTTCTGACTACCAAGGTCGACTAAAACCCTGAGGTTCCGCTGGAGATAACAATCCCTGAGTCATGTCTACCTCAAAAACCATCGAACAATTGAACCCGTCCGCTTCTCATTGCCGCAGAGCGAGGACGCAGGACGCTCCCCGAAAACTCCCCAGGACCGGCCTTGTCCCGGGGCAGGGTCTGAAAAAAGGTCACACCTGCGACGGGCTTGCCAACTGAAGAGCTGGCTCCAGCGCCGTCGCAATATGGCCATGGGTCAAAAACCAAATCGTACCCCCAGTGAACATCCAATTCAATCCTACCACTATAATAGGTTCAAAAGTGGTGAATTCACCTACCCCAAAATGGGATCCCAAAACGGTTTTGACCCACGGCCATCGCATTTGGCTGAAGGGGCGCCTTTTGGTCCGCTTTGTGGACCTAATGAGCTGCTTCGGCCGCTTCAGCACCAGGCTGGTCTAGTGGGAGAGGGTGCTGGGTCCCTGACTTGCCTCTGAAGCCTCAAGAACCCTGGCATGTGATGCGAGCCGCTGCCTCACAATGTGAGTTTTGAGGCGGGGTCTGTTCTGAGGCTATGAAAAGGAAGCCAATCATTTATTGGAGGGACTAGGGCCCCTTTCTGGACATCACTTAGGTGGGGATTCACCTTTTTAAGTGCGAAAGTAGCACGCGAAGTAAACTTTCGCAGCTTCGGCCGGAAAATCGCAATTCTTAAGTACGAAAGTAGTACGTGAAGTACACTTTCGCAGCTCCAGCTGGAGAATCGCAACTGTTAACTACGAAAAGAGCACGCGAAGCCACTTTTGTGAGGTGGTTCCCTCTTAGAATTACTAGCCCTCCTGTGGATGCACAAATCCTGCACCACTTGGGATGGATGAAACCCTATGAATACTGGGATAAACCACCAACTGGTGCAGGAATTTGTCAATCCACAGCATTCTGATACCAAACCCAGACCCGGATGCGGATGTCTTTTTTGCGGGTACCGTCTTTTGGTTGGTTTTAAAGCGAAAGCCAAAAGGAAGCCAGTCCACCAAAAAAAGACGAGCAGCCCATGTTAACCGGTGAGTCCCCGAACCAATTGAGCTCAGGCCTTTAGGCAACTTCGGGAGCCATTCCTCTCGGAACGACACCTGGCGCGGCCATGTGAGCAGTCAAAATCACGAAGGTTTCCACAAGGACACGGGAAATCTAGATTTTCTCCTGGCTGTTGTGGGAAAACTGGCTGTTGACCCCTCTGCTTCTTGTGGGAAATATTCTGGCCCCTGGATTCTGTGGGAAAATGTAGATTTGGCCCTCTGGTTGGTGTGGGGAAATTTAGGCTGTGTCCCGTTGTTGGGATGTCCAGATTAGGTCCCCTGTTTGTGAGACCAAATGATGTGGTCCCCTGGTTGTTGCGGAAAAATGTAGATAATGGTTGTTGTGAGGAGCATAAATATGGTTCCCCCGTTTTTGTGTGGGAAAATGTAGATGTTGTCCCCTGGTTATTGGGGGGAGTATGAAATTTTGTCCCCTGGCTGTTGTGGGGAAACTGAGTGAGTCCTCCTTCTCGTCCCTCCCTTGACTAGTGGCGATTCGGTGAGTGCAACCAATGTGATTTGAAAACTGACCACTGCTGATGCTCAAGTCTATGTCGTCGAAGGCCGCTTCTCTCCTGGATTAAGAAGATGCTGCCGCATCAGTGCTCCAAAAACAACCCACAAAATCAGCCCATGTGCCCCCAACAACAACAACCCTTCCAGATCCCTGCCGGAGCCCTTCCAGAACCAGAACCGCGCACCACTCCGGAGCCATTTTGTTTGGGAGACCTCAAAGTTTTTTTGGGGGGGGAAGGAGGACAAGCCAACTTTCCCTGTCCTTCTCCAGGGCGCGTCAAGTCACCCCGTAAGCCTCCCCCCCCCCCCCCGCCACAACCCCTTCCAAGCACGGCCGCTTGCCTGTGAGCGCAGCTCGTTCAGCCGCAGGGAGCTCAGGTCCTTACAGGCCGTCAGGCCGCACCCCACAGAACAGACCGCCCTGCGCGTGTTCACCTGGAATTCCTCTTGCAGTGTATTCAATTCTGGAAAAAATGTTGCGAATGCGCCGGAGTCAAAACACAACTCAGTTGCCAGACATGCCTCCAAAGACATGTCTGTGTCAGTTTGCTGAAACTGCCGGGAGATCGCGGGAGGCCCTGCTTTCAAACTGAAAACCGACTTTGTGGTGCTGGCAAATGCAAACAACACAATACGCCAATGAGCCCTCAGCCACTTAATCATGGATCTGCTCTGATGACAGAGCGGGACACTTCATCCACAAACGCCGCCTATATAGCGGCGAAGCTGCTTGTAAACTAGGATCGCGTGTTGTGTGTCATTCGGCCAAGCTCAACGAAAAACAGACATGTGAAAACGGAAAGGTGGAAGAAATCTACAACGTGCAAACATAAAAACCCGCAATGGCAAGCTGGAGGAGGCAGTCAAAGCATGCGCACTTATGTATTTCTAAGAGAAGCCTCCTGAAGCTATGTGCTATACAGGCTATACAAATACCATATCAAGACTTTGTAAGGGATGTATTTGCGCGCCTTGCTTTCCAAAAAAGTTGCTCTCTCGCGAACAGCGAGTTTGTGTTCCTGGGAATGACTTCATTATCAAGCTCAAGGCCGAAGGGACTCAAGTAGAAAACAACTCATCTCAAGAAAAGGTAAGCCGTAAGGACGGTGATTGCTACGGTGGATTCCCTAAATATTGCAAGTAAGTCAACCACAAACCATGAGAACTTACAGGGTTTCCTTTGTTCCCTACTTGCAATATTTAGGGCATCAACCGTACCTCTCCAAAAGAATGAACTCTAATCAGAACATCTGGTGCAGGCCACGAGGATTAGAGAGCGGTCCACCATTTTATCTCATTTCGGCTCCCGTTGAAAGCTACTCCTAAGCGATGGGCCACATGAACACAAGTCTCTCCGCTCACTGTCATTCGTTCCCCAATTTCCATTCCTTTCGCTTGCATATTGGTGGTCCTTGAGTGCAAGTGATATGCATGTCCTGGGATTACGGTAAGTTTGTACGCCGAAGGAACTCGTTTCTCTAAGCCATGCCTATCGGAGATTCATGCGGGTGTGCGAGAGAAAGACATGTGTATCACGTCAAACTGAATCTCTCTGCATTTCACATGGATATAGTTGAGAATAAATTAAACCGCGAAAACAGACATGAAAGCTAACATGCAAACCAAGAAATTGCTAGTATTCTGGATGTGGATAAAATTAATTGTCTTCAAGACAAGCCGGTTACACGTGAGAGTGAAACAGCCTGTTTTTACCCTCCGCCTTCACTCGCCTGCTCCAGAATAAGAGGTGGGTATGTGGTGGGCAATTGGCTCGCACGTAACGTCGCTTTCATTCCTCACGGATTTGCGAGCCACCCATATGATTCCTCATCCCTTTACAGCCAAAAGCCGGAATGATGTTCTGCCGAGATGTTCATTTCGAAGATGACTAGCCTAGAGATAGAAACAAATGAATTTAAGAGATGAATGTGTACGAGAGATGAGAGATGTGCGTTCGGTGGATTCCAGAGTCAGCCCGCATTCTGAGTTGGCTACCTGAGATTCATGGATCGGAGGATTCACATGTGGCCGAAGAAACCCCAAGGGAAGGGAAAGGACAAACAAGCACCTGGCAATAGCTTCAGGATTGACATCTTCTGGATTTACCTTCCTACATCTTAGACTTGGGGAAGGTTCTGGAAGCAAGCAAGTCACTTATCATTCTCTCTTGTCCGGCGTTTACTAAAGATTGTTGTTTATGTTTGTCTCGCCGGCAGAAAGAGGCTGGTAAAAGAGAGTGAAATGACTAATTCATCTTGTTTGTGTTTCATCCTTTGAAACATTTGTAATTTCAAGGAATGGCCGTCTGTCTCTCTATGCGCCACCTTTTAACCACCTACTACTTATCTATATTTCTGAATCCATAGTTCTCTAAATTATATATTGTAAGTTGTGCGTTCTCCTACATTGTAAGTCCATAGAAAAAGAAAGAAAAGGTTGGCGAAGGGAAAGGAATTCATATCACCAGTGTTTCATTCTTGTTTGTTTCACTGTCTTATTGTCTCATCAATCAGCAAACCTGATAAATAGTGGATAATCAAAAGGCTAAGAGTTGAATGATAGTACAGAACCGGTGGGTATTCCGCAATGGTGCGGACTTATTGCAAAAAAACGGTGGATGGAGCCAGAAAAATACGATCTCACATCTTATCATTCATCATATGTTTCTTGTGTATCTTGTATGACACCATAATTTCCTAGCCGGGCGCGCAATTTCGAGTATTGGGGTGAAAGGCGGCTGAACATGAGGGGACCACATTGTTCCAACGTGGAAACATACCGCAATCAGGCAACACCATCCCCAACATCAAACCCAGGAATCGCAGAAGCTATGCAGCATGAAAAAATCCTCGCTGCCGCACGCTCAGTCGCCACTTGGCCGGCGGGGCATCTTTCTCAAACCAACAACCGACGCCCGGCGCTCAACTCAAGCGCCCGGCGCCGCACTTGGAGAACTGCGGTTTGTAGAAGTACCTCCAAATCAAAACCCATTTGGCCCTGGGTTCTGCCAACATGATGATAAAGGTTTAGACGAAATGGTTGTGGAAACATATCCATGATACCAAAGTATGATACGCCCACGACTGGATCGCTTCAAAGGGGGTTCCCTTGTTGCGGTTGACACTCGGGCAGACCCCAAAATTTATCCCCCAATACAAACTGAGATGGCTAGCTTCCCGGGCCCGCATGTCAATACAAGCGCAGACGGTATGGATTCGTAGCGTATTAGAGGCTTCATATGCCGCTCAAGCGCCTCGGCTACTGGCAAAGGGAAGTGGTGGGGGGTGTACGTGCGCTCGTTTGTACACATGTTGGCGTTCGTCCAAAACCTTGTGCCCGAAACATACAAAAAGTCAGCATTCCAAGCGTGCCGCCTCTATCGGCAAAACAAAAACTGCACGTCATCAAGACACGCGTCAAACAGCATCCATGAAATCCTTCCTTGGGAACCACACAAGCGCAGCTGCAACTCTTTCACGCTTTCACAAAAGCTTCAGGAATGGCAACAATCTCCACCAAGGTCCAAGTGCTGGAAGCACTTGCTGTACGCTTTTCCAAGTCAGCAATCATGCAAGTGAGGTACTTCTTCAGCTGCCTACTTGCTGCCAACAAAGCATGCTGCGCGCAAACCCATCCTTTGGCCGCCCCTACTGTCCCTGCTCACGCGGGACACTTTCGTGCATTTTTGCTAGCGCGCCGAACTAGCGCGTCTCTGGCCCACAAACCTGGCTGGCAAAAATCGGGCAACAAACGCAACAGGCGAGCGAACGATCAGAAGTTCAGGAATGTCGCCCTGCTTGCTTCCAGTGTCTGCGGCACACTTTGTCCACTAGTTGCAAGACCCTGGGCCAAAATTCTGCCGGACGGCTGTGTCAACTCTTCAGGATTCCCTCATGGGCATCATGGGAGTTGCAAAAGTCTAGCGCAAAGCCAGCGGCTTTCCTAGCGCAACCGATGGGATTCACCGAAATCCTGGCGCGTGCCGCCTTGCAAAGCAAGCTACAAATACATAATAATCTATGACTCAATTGCGTTTGCTTGGGAGCATCCTTACATGCCTTATTGACAACTCCCCATGTGTATATATATATATATGTATATATATATGCATATGCATATATATATGTATATATATATAGGTATATATCAATCCATGCATGTATATGTAGACAGGCCGACAGACGGGCTGGATTAGATTAGATTAGCACATAGATTAGACAGACTAAATTGTTTAGATAGGTTAGATCGGTTAGATAGATTTGAAGAGAAATTCTAGATATAATAGAAGAACTCATAGGGTGGATAGATTAAGAATTGGAAAGATGAGATAGGTTAGATACATTCCACAGATCAAAAGGATTTGTCGGAAGCACAGGATGCACGGATAAATAGGAGCTGGAAAAAATACACTTGGTCAAGTTTCACACAAATTTGCGCAAGCGAGTGAAGCACGCAACCCCACGCAGGAAGCTTCCCAGTTGGCCCCTGGCCGCTACTCATGGAGGCGAGTTAGCTGCATTTTGGCAGCATGCTCAACGACATCGCAGCACCGGGGTCTGGCGGCACATCCTCTTGCGGGTGTTGAACCCAATCATGGCGTGCCTAGCAGACTGCAGCCACCGGTCTCAGCTGAGCTTTCCTCACGCAACCAAATCATCAAACAATGTCCGCGCCCCGAAGTGCGTCTGCATAAACCAGTTTGTCTGCGTGAAGCATTGCGTGACAACAGTTGGCTGTCCCATAAGAGAGATATGATAGATGAGACAGATGAGGCAGACGAGACAAAGCAAAGATATGTGACAAACAAAACAAATTGGACAGATGAGACAAATGAAACAAATGAGATAGCTGAGACAAATGAGATAGAGGAGATACATGGGAGAGGTGATATAGATGAGATAGATAAGATTGATGAGATTGATGAGATAGAGGCGATAGATGAGAAAAATGAGATAGATTGAATGGAGTAGATCAGATAGATCAGATATATTAGATATATTGGACATATTTTAGATATGATAGAATGGATAGATTAGAAAGTAGATAACTTTCATAGCTTTGATTGCTGGAACAGCTCAGATAGGGTAGACAGGAAGATAGGATAGATGGATTAGATTAACTGGTGAGTCCGCTAGTAAGGTAGTTAGGCCGCCTAGTCGGTTAGCTGGTTAGTTGGTTAGTTGGTCAGTTGGTCAGTTGGCTACTCGGCTAGTTGGTTGGTTGGTTGGTTGGTTGGTTGGTTGGTTGGTTGGTTGGTTGGTTAGTTGGTTGGTTGGTTGGTTGGTTGGTTAGTTGTTTAGTTGTTTAGTTGGTTGGCTGGTTAGTTGGTTGGTTGGTTAGTTGGTTAGTTGGTTAGTTGGTTAGTTGGTTAGTTGGTTAGTTGGTTGGTTGGTTAGTTGGTTAGTTGGTTGGTTGGTTAGTTGGTTAGTCGGTTACTTGGTTATTTGGTTAGTTGGTTAGTTGGTTAGTTGGTTAGTTAGTTAGTGAGTTAGTGAGTTAGTTAGACAGTTAGTTAGTTAGTTAGTTAGTTAGTTAGTTAGTTAGTTAGTTAGTTAGTTAGTTAGTTAGTTAGTTAGTTAGTTAGTTAGTTAGTGAGCTACATTGACAAATAAGTAGGTAGATAGATAGAGAGGCAGACAGACAGACAGACAGACAGACAGACAGACAGACAGACAGACAGACAGACAGACAGACAGACAGACAAACAAACAAACAAACAAGCAGTTAGACATACATCTGCGCGTGAACCAGAGAGCATCCTCGCTCTTGCCGAGGCTTCACCGTTCGACCACACGTCTGCGTTTCGCGTTTGCGGCGCACCACACGTCTGCGATGTCCTTCGACTTCTCCAGGTAATCCTCACAGGGGTCAAGGAAGCCGCGCGGGGCGAAGCATGAAGGACCCCCCATCGCGGGGCAGGGGAGGCTGTCCCTTTGGTGTCGGTGATTATTCACGTCTATGCGGTTGAATGTGAATGATTGGGGAGTCCTGAAAAAATAATGACCCTTCCAAAAGTTTGGGACCTGGGGCTTCTTTCAGGGGCCCTTCTTTAGTACGCAAGGGCGGCACCTTGGGCACCGAGGCGTGTCCCTCAGGAGCCCCGCCGGGACGCACGTCACGCCCGCCGGCCGTCCTCCACGGAAGAGAACTCCTGCACCTCGAAGCCCGCTTGCCGCATCCTAGCGGGGGACTGCCAGGTGGGGGTCGTTTTGTCAGGTTGGGGCTCCTTTGGGTTTCCCCTTAAAACCAACCAAAAGGGGGTGCCCTGCAACAGGCACACCCATATTTTTTGTATGTGAGTCAAAATAGGTGCCCCAAACTGTTTGGTTTTTCTTTAGAGTCTAACCCCAAAAAGGATCAAACAATGGACAAACCCATATGGGTGCTCAAACAAAGTACATGTATCCCGTCAGGTGGTCGGTTTCGTTTTGGTTTCAGATGTTCCCTCAAACACCATCCAAGAAAACCCTGTGCTTTTGATCCATACGTGCCGTCAAAACTCATGTCAGGCAGGATGTCCTGCCCCAGATATATCCATCGTGACCATCCCCAACACAGGAAATTCAGGGAATTGATGGGGAGAATGGGGAAGTTTTAGTGTTGCCTTTCAGCCTTGGTCCTCTGCTTGCTTCATCTATTGTGATGCGCATCTACAAAAATGTTCAGCCAATTCCGAACAAGCTGGTGCTGGGTGCCCTTTCCGAAAGGCCGGAGTGCTATTGCAGTGACAAGCTTTCCTAATGCGTATAAAGTGCGAGTGCCCTCCTTTCCCATGGCGTGTGTTTGCTGGGGCTTAAAAGGTCGGCATGGTTGTCGCTTAAGCCACGACTTGTTCCGCAAAAGGACGTCGGAAGATCAGATGTTGTCCCCTGGTGGTTGAAACTTCAAGCTCGTTCCCCCTTCTGGCCCTGCATGGACCATAGACAAATGAGAAATGCTTGACCAAACCTCATATGGGTTGTCAAAAAAGGGCTTCGCACACCTTAAGAAAGGACACCGACTTCCCTTTTGACACCGACTTCACAAAAGGGGGGGAAACAACAAACAAACAAACAAGCAAACGAACAAACAAACAAGAAAGCAAGCAAGCAAGCAAGCAAGCAAACAAAACAAGCAAACAAACAAACAAACAAGAAAGCAAGCAAGCAAGCAAGCAAGCAAACAAAACAAGCAAACAAACAAACAAACAAACAAGAAAGCAAGCAAGCAAGCAAGCAAACAAATTAGCAAACAAACAAACAAACAAGAAAGCAAGCAAGCAAGCAAGCAAACAAAACAAGCAAACAAACAAACAAACAAGAAAGCAAGCAAGCAAGCAAGCAAGCAAACAAATTAGCAAACAAACAAACAAACAAGAAAGCAAGCAAGCAAGCAAACAAAACAAACAAACAAACAAAATAAACAACAGCGCGCGGTTTCGCGGTGTCGGCTTCCGCCGTTGGCACTGGTATCTCTCCTGTCCCGGTACTCCACCGGGTACTCGAAGATCTCCGGGGCCACCAGGTCCACCCGGACCTATCGCCGTAGACGAAACCGGAAAAATCCTCAGGTCGGTCGTCTGGGAAAAATCGGATTGCCCACGGATTTCCCATGGATGTGTTTCACGGAGTTGTTCATGGATTTCCCATGGATGTTCATGGATTTCCCATGGATTAAACGGAACAAATGGATGGATGGAATTTTCATGGGAAAACTGGGAAAAACAATTGGATGGATGTGCCATGGAAGAAAGCCAAGCTAAACCAGTGGCACCCATTTATCTCTAGCCAACCTAATCCAAGGCCACTTATGTACGGGAAATGCAGAGTGTCCTCTTGGGTAAACAAAATCCGGCCAGGATCAACTGCCCAGTTACCTGTTATGGAGTAACCCCAGGATGTCCTGTGGATGCACAAACTCCACCAACCACCCCAGTTGCTGGTTTATCCCAGTGCCCGTGTAGATGTGTGCTGTGGTTTTTGGAGGCTCAGTACCATCATTGTGAGTGTTCTCCTATTTTGACTGATGCCCACATCTGTGTCCTTGAAAAAAGAGCATCCAAAAACGTGATGTTCCTATTTTCCCCGTTTGAACCGGCCTTAAAACGGCACAAAGCCTCAACAACGCAAAATATATATATATATATATATATATATATATATATATATATGGGTGTGTCTTGACTTAGGGGACTCCAAAATAATGGCAAACAATCAAACCAACCATAAAGAGATTTCCACAAAAAAAAAAAAAAACATAATCGATAGCATCATTTTTTGAACGGCTATGGACGGTCTGAAAGGTCAACCAGTATGCGCTTCTTGGTAAACCACAAGGAAAACAACAAAACAGACACCTCCATTGCTGGGTGAAGCCTCAAGTTCCAGCCCATCGGCACCGACTCAAAGCGCCTTGTCAAAGACCTTGAGCCCCTCCACCTGGCGATCGAATCGCTTACCGGGCAATGTACTGCAACGTGTCTGCCAATGGCTTGGGCCCGGGACGCAGACTTGGGGCATCCTGAAGCAAAAGGGAGGCTTTTTAGGGAACCCAATGTTGTAATTTCACAGGGAGAGAAATAAACCACACAAATTTGGGAGGTGCCCATTTTGAGACGTGCGTGTGCACGCGCGCACACACACACACACGCGCGCGCGCAACAAAATGGCAACGGTGCCCTTGTAGTTCCCTTGAAAACTGACCACCAAGGTTGTGAGACCCCAAAAACATGACACACCGACCTGGTTCTTGGAGGGATCAAAACCTGAACGGGAAACCAATCTACTAGGGGCTCATACCATTCAAAAGGTTCAACATGAGTCACAAAACTTGGTTCTTGAAGGTCTACCTTTGAAACCCAAAGGTAAAGCATTGAAATGGCGGAAATCCGCCCCAATGGCTGTTAACCTTCACTTGCACAGGTTTTGATTGTGGCTAACCTGCTCTCCTACATTTGCATGAGTTCCAGCCCGGCACCACCAAAGCCAGGACCAAAGGGACACATAGTGGCCATATAGTTCCCATATAGTCTATATCGTGGCTATATAGTGGCTATAAAGTGGCTATATTGTGGGTGTGTATATCATTCTGTTGCCGCAACCTAGTACTGGGCATGTGAGTCCGTGTTTCAAGCTCCGAGAACTTGTTGGTCTCATTGATCCGGAACCTCCAAACAGTTGATAGCTTTCCGAAAGCCAACGCTGATCCGAGGGATCCTCAAAACATTTGATGTCTTTTCTCTGAGGCCAATCCTTGTTTTGCTAGGCAACCTCAGAACCCAAGCTGCAAGCCCGACGCCTTCGAGTGGGCAGTTCGCCCATGCGCCAAGTCGCCCACCAGCGCCAAATGGACCGCCTGTCGAGAAGTCGTCATGGACCCAGTGGCTCCGTCAGCCTCTGCCACCCCCCAGCTGCTTTTTCCCATGTCCAAAATCCCAAGGACTGTCCAAAGAGCGGTGACTGGGAACTGCTTGGAGCAGTTGTTGCTTGTTCCACAAAGACATCAAGCTGCTGTTCTGCTCTTGCAAAATCCATGCGTCTTTTTGGGCCTGTTGATTCAGCGCCCATCCTGCATCGCCTTCCGCGACCAAGAACTTCAACTCTGGGCGGCCGTGCGGATCGATCCCACCTCCTGTGCTCCAAGAGTGAGAAAATGTCGACCTGAGCATTGGGTTTCTTATGTTTTTTCTCGAAACACCCCTTTTTTGTGGGTGTTTAAAAGGAACGAACAGGAAAACCACCCTCTTCTGTCTTTTCTTTAGTTTGTACTTTTTTTGGGGGAGGGGGTTCCCCATTTAAAAAACAAGACACACTGATGGATTTCCCAGCCACAAGTCAGCCCAACAAGCAAGCTCACCTTGCATTGACAACCCAAAGCAGGTGTTTGTTTAACCACACCACCACCGCGAAGCCCCCGAAACCAGTCCAAAATGGACACATCAAGAAACAAATTGCATGAGTTTTCAAGTAGTTGGACCCTATGGTGGACATCAAACTCGGTGGGGATTCATGTCCAGCAAACACTCTTGCGGCGGATAGTATCATTTAGATGGGGAGTCATGTCCACCAAACGCTTTCGAGGTTCCTTTTCGAAATCCATAGCCAAGCGCACCGCTAGCGGCTAGTTGCGGGTAGAGGGCACGGACGCGAGGCAACCGAGAGCTAGGCTCGGGGCAAATTCGCCGATGGGGTGAGTAAAAAGGCCGTCGCCCGCATTCACGAAGGATGGGTTTGGCACTCCCATCCTGGCACTTGGAATAGAAACCAGACGCTTCTTGCAAGGGTTGGGCAAAAAGGGTCCAAATATATTTCAACCCGGCCGCCTTTTTGGAGGGAACAGCAAAAACCAACAGTAGTTCAAACAACGACTCAACATGTTCAAAGGCCCAACCCTAGCTCTGGCGTTGTCTTTTTGGCCCGCTGATCAAAGCGCGACGTTGGTCCGAATGTCCGAGCCCCACCTCTGCGCGTGCGCGCCCATGGCAGTGCGAAGCCAGCTGCAAACCCCCTGGCTGGAGCTGGGGGCAGGTGGGAACCATTTCTGGGACACCCACTTTCGCCTGAACCCCCATGCTGCTGTGGAACTTCCGTCCAAGGTGGGTGTCGTCTTGCTTGCTTCCATGACAAAAGCAGGTTTGAGCGTGGCGAACCTGGCAAATCCCTTCTAGACGCGCAGGGCGCTTCAGCCGATTAAATGTTTGAGAGCGATGATTCATCGTCATCGGAAAAGGGAATGTCGGACGAGCACTAAACACACACAAAGAATGTGCAGTCCCTAGTCGTCATGCTTTAGAGGGAACCTCCGTACTGCTGGTAGAAGTGAACAGAAACTGTGGCCAAGCGCGTGAATTCGGCTCGAGCAAACCACCTTTGTCGCAACTTCGGTCTCGGGTCTCGGAGCGGGCGCGGAGCGGCTCGGAGTGAGCCCATTGGCACGGCCGCGCGCACTGCGACCCTCTGCGCACATTGGGCCGGTCGACCATCAAAAGCTCGTGTCTTCAAATGACCTCCTATTTGTGGTTTACCGCGATGAAGGGGGATTGTCGGGGACGTAATTGAAGTTTGACGGTGCCTTTTTTGTGCGAAAATCGGTCCGCGAGTGGGCCGGAATTGGCCGCTCGGAGCCAGCTCAGCTGGCCCAGCCCTTTGCTGCAGCGGGCTCGGGCAAGGGCGGGAGCCGGCCGCGGCCAGCTGCCAGCAGCGTGGCGCTGGCCGCGGCCGTCTAGGTCGCAAAGGGCAAGGTGCGCGTTGGCGTCAGGGAAGCACAAAGCCCCTGGTCCTGACTGAACCTGTCTTTCAGGGCCTGGCGGGAGATGCTTCAAGAAAAGACGCTCCAGCGGATTCTGGAAGCTGGAAGCTGCAGCTCCGCTCCGACTGCGCCAGTCCCTACCTGTCGGCCAAGTGCGCTGCAGTGCACGTCCTGCCTGCTTGTGATTTTGCAATCTGTCAGATCTAGATCTGAGCTTTCAACTTGCAGCGAACTGAGAAAGTGGTAGTGGTTGCCGTTGTCTATGTCTATGTATATGTATATGGATATGCATATGTTCATCGGGATGTTTATGTACGTCTATGTCTATCTATGTTTATGACTCCTGAACCATCTTTAAACTTATATATCCTGATGTACCTGCGCCCTACAGGGGCATGAGAAGACACCAACCCCCCACTGAATATCATGTAGACAAAAAACCTGCCTAAAATTGGGAGGGCTTGCCTACCAAAAACCTGTTTGGGTTTTCTGGTAGTCCATTTTGCCAAGGTATTATGTATACATTGCTTGCTTCTAGTGTATATATATATATACACGTATATATATATATACATATATAATACATATATATATATATACACCAATAAATTGTACATTTAGATAGCTTAGATTAGATAGACTAGATACATAAGATAGATTGGATACATAAGAAAGATTAGATACACAAATGTGCTCGGTCAGCTCAGGCAATCATGAGCTTGAGCATATGCATCCCTCTTTCGGCTTGCGGTGCACCCACTAGGGCTTGCTAACATTTGAAGCCCTCTGTCAACAGTGGGGGCTTGAAACCAACCGGGCTTGTTTTCAGGCTTCATGCGCTATGCTTCTCTGAGGCTCAGTGCCCTTTTCACCAAAGAATCAAAAGGAAGGCCACACATTTTGGGCGTCCAAATCCCCCATTTGACACATACATACACCAATCAAGTGGATGCTTTACATCCAATGGGTAGATGTGGGGCAAGAGCCTGGATACATTCCACTGCTTGTCGCATGTCGTGTCATTCTCAGTAGCAAACAGTTGCGGTAAATATAAGTGATGTGAGTGTAAATGTAACTGTTGCTACATGGGTGGGGCTCAAAATACAAGAGCTAGGGTTACGCAGGTTTTAGTCTTTGGTTAAGGGTGCCATTTTGGGCTCCATATTTTGAGCCACAGACTGATTGGCTACTTCTTTTGGACGCTCGAACCCCCAAGCCCTCATCCCAAAGAAGGCTGGCCTCTAGCGCGCTTCTGATGATGAAGACGCTGCGTTGGGTGGAGTACACAGACAGCATCTTCACGGTGTCCTCCACAAGGCTTTCGAATTGGTCGCCTGTCAAAATTTAGGGGAGCATCCTATGCCCAAGTGAACCTGATGGTTACATTTGTTGCGTAGGCCAGACTCCGATGCCCTTAGCTTCCAAGAAAACGATGTGCTTGGGCCTCAACACTGCAATGCATAGGCCTGCCGTGGAGAGAAGGGACATTCCAAGTGATTCAGAGCCCACTCCTGCAGACTTATATTAATGTGGAATCCACAAAAAAGCCAGGCTAAGAGGAGTCCTCTTTTGCCCCCCCTCTCAGGGTTCCATGTTCAGAGAACTTAGACCGGTATGCTTTGAAAGCAAACGAAAGCAACAGCAACGGCAAAAGCAAACAACTTAGACCGGTTTGCACGAGCAAGCAAAACCAAGCTAAAGCAAGCTAAAGAAAGCAAAAGCAAGCGATTGCAAGTAAAAGCCAGCAAAAGTGCTATGTTGCCAGAACCATCCGCACGATCGTGCTGGTTGCCCTGGGCATGGCAATCAGCAAGCAAGCAAGCAAGCACGCAAGCACGCACAATAAACCCCCACTCACGCTCTCTTCGAGGATAAAGCTCCAAGCACACCAAAGCAGAAAGCAAAGTCAAAAAGGCCTTTGCAAAACTCTGTGTCTGCCTCGAAACAATGCTTTGCTTTCGCAGCACGCACCATCAACATGACATACCAACACATTGAATCTCAACCTGCAATGCATTAGACAGTTCGGTAACGCAACCAAACACACACATAAAAAACGATTGCAGTAGTATCATGCTGCTTGTCGCTTCATGATGCTTCACGTGGCACCATGCCATGTGGCATTGATTGACGTCACTGACACTGGCCTCCCCTCCATGCCGGACAAGCGAGTCGAGACTCGGGCGCCCCCAGCACGCGCTTTAGCTCATCGCCGTGCCGTCATGCACAAAGAATGCAGCCATACCTTGGCCTGTGCGTTGGCCCCAAGGGCACCGAGAGCCAAAGATGATTTGCATTGTTGGAGATGCTGATGCCAGCAAGACCCCATGCAAGCACCTCCGGCACCCCCTTGCATACGCCCCACACCAGGCCAACGGTGCGTAAGCAACAACAGCGATGTGGGAAGGACCATCCACACGATCGTGTTGGTTGCCTTGGGTAGGGCAATCAGAAGCAAGCACAACAAGCGCCCATGCAAGCCTCTCATGCTGCTATCTGCAAGCATGTGTTCCCAGCATACCAAGCCGAGTCAACAAGGCCTTTGCCCAGTGGCTAGGTTGCAACGGCTATATCTGGGTTTACACAGCACGGACCATCAACATGACATGCCAACACATTGAATCTCAACCTGCAATACATGTCGCCAGTTCGGTAACAACCAAACACAAACAAAAAAACAAAACAAAAACGATTGCAGTGGAGTCATGCTGCTTGTCGCTCGCTTTAATGTGGCATGGATTGACGTCACTGACACTGGCCTCCCCTCCATGCCGGACAAGCGAGTCGAGACTCGGGCGCCCCCAGCACGCGCTTTAGCTCATCGCCGTGCCGTCATGCACAAAGAATGCAGCCATACCTTGGCCTGTGCGTTGGCCCCGAGGGCACCGAGAGCCAAAGATGCTTTGCATTGTTGGAGATGCTGATGCCAGCAAGACCCCATGCAAGCACCTCCGGCACCCCTTGCATACGCCCCACACCAGGCCAACGGTGCGTAAGCAACAACAGCGATGTGGGAAGGACCATCCGCACGATCGTGTTGGTTGCCTTGGGTAGGGCAATCGGAAAGCAAGCACAACAAGCGCCCATTCAAGCCTCTCATGCTGCTATCTTCAAGCATGTGTTCCCAGCATACCAAGGCACCAAGTGGAGTCAGCAAGGCCTTTGCCCAGTGGCTAGTCTTGGTCGCAACGGCTATAGCTGAGTTTACACAGCACGGACCATCAACATGACATGCCAACACATTGAAAGTCAACCTGCATTGCATTTCGCCAGTTCAGCAACAACCAACCACGATTGCAGTCGTATCATGCGGCATTGATTGACGTCACTGACACTGGCCTCCCCTCCATGCCGGACAAGCGAGTCGAGACTCGGGCGCCCCCAGCACGCGCTTTAGCTCATCGCCGTGCCGTCATGCACAAAGAATGCAGCCATACCTTGGCCTGTGCGTTGGCCCCGAGGGCACCGAGAGCCAAAGATGCTTTGCATTGTTGGAGATGCTGATGCCAGCAAGACCCCATGCAAGCACCTCCGGCACCCCTTGCATACGCCCCACACCAGGCCAGCGGTGCGTAAGCAACAACAGCGATGTGGGAAGGACCATCCACACGATCGTGTTGGTTGCCTTGGGTAGGGCAATCGGAAAGCAAGCACAACAAGCGCCCATTCAAGCCTCTCATGCTGCTATCTTCAAGCATGTGTTCCCAGCATACCAAGGCACCAAGCCGAGTCAAGGCCTTTGCCTTTGCCCAGTGGCTAGGTTGCAACGGCTATAACTGGGTTTACACAGCACGGACCATCAACATGACATGCCAACACATTGAAAGTCCACCTGCATTGCATTTCGCCAGTTCAGCAACAACCAACCAAAAAACAAAAAAACAAAACAAAAACGATTGCAGTGGAGTCATGCTGCTTGTCGCTCGCTTTACTGTGGCATGGATTGACGTCACTGACACTGGCCTCCCCTCCATGCCGGACAAGCGAGTCGAGACTCGGGCGCCCCCAGCACGCGCTTTAGCTCATCGCCGTGCCGTCATGCACAAAGAATGCAGCCATACCTTGGCCTGTGCGTTGGCCCCGAGGGCACCGAGAGCCAAAGATGCTTTGCATTGTTGGAGATGCTGATGCCAGCAAGACCCCATGCAAGCACCTCCGGCACCCCTTGCATACGCCCCACACCAGGCCAACGGTGCGTAAGCAACAACAGCGATGTGGGAAGGACCATCCACACGATCGTGTTGGTTGCCTTGGGTAGGGCAATCAGAAAGCAAGCACAACAAGCGCCCATTCAAGCCTCTCATGCTGCTATCTTCAAGTTTGTGTTCCCAGCATACCAAGGCACCAAGCCGAGTCAAGGCCTTTGCCTTTGCCCAGTGGCTAGTTTTGGTTGAAACGGCTATAACTGGGTTTACACAGCACAAACAATCAACATGACGTGCCAACGCGTTGAAAGTCAACCTGCAATGCATCAAACAGTTCGGTAACAACCACCCACACACATATATATAAAACGATTGCAGTCGTATCACGCTGTTTGTCGCTTCATGATGCTTCACGTGGCACCATGCCATGTGGCATTGATTGACGTCACTGACACTGGCCTCCCCTCCATGCCGGACAAGCGAGTCGAGACTCGGGCGCCCCCAGCACGCGCTTTAGCTCATCGCCGTGCCGTCATGCACAAAGAATGCAGCCATACCTTGGCCTGTGCGTTGGCCCCGAGGGCACCGAGAGCCAAAGATGCTTTGCATTGTTGGAGATGCTGATGCCAGCAAGACCCCATGCAAGCACCTCCGGCACCCCTTGCATACGCCCCACACCAGGCCAACGGTGCGTAAGCAACAACAGCGATGTGGGAAGGACCATCCACACGATCGTGTTGGTTGCCTTGGGTAGGGCAATCGGAAAGCAAGCACAAGAAGCGCCCATTCAAGCCTCTCATGCTGCTATCTGCAAGCATGTGTTCCCAGCATACCAAGGCACCAAGCCGAGTCAAGGCCTTTGCCTTTGCCCAGTGGCTAGTTTTGGTTGAAACGGCTATAACTGGGTTTACACAGCACAAACAGTCAACATGACGTGCCAACGCATTGAAAGTCAACCTGCAATGCATCAAACAGTTCGGTAACAACCACCCACACACATATATAAAACGATTGCAGTCGTATCACGCTGTTTGTCGCTTCATGATGCTTCACGTGGCACCATGCCATGTGGCATTGATTGACGTCACTGACACTGGCCTCCCCTCCATGCCGGACAAGCGAGTCGAGACTCGGGCGCCCCCAGCACGCGCTTTAGCTCATCGCCGTGCCGTCATGCACAAAGAATGCAGCCATACCTTGGCCTGTGCGTTGGCCCCGAGGGCACCGAGAGCCAAAGATGCTTTGCATTGTTGGAGATGCTGATGCCAGCAAGACCCCATGCAAGCACCTCCGGCACCCCTTGCATACGCCCCACACCAGGCCAACGGTGCGTAAGCAACAACAGCGATGTGGGAAGGACCATCCACACGATCGTGTTGGTTGCCTTGGGTAGGGCAACTAGCAAGCACTCAAGCAATGGCACAAACAACAAACGATCTATGATGATCTATACTCAAACTCAGTGTAACCCATCACGGCTCCCGCAGCTGGTCGCAAGTCTGAGCTTCTCCTCGTTTGCTTTGCTTGATTCTCTGTGCCGTATGATAGCCGCAATCCGTATGATAGCTGCAATGATCGCATCACAATGGAGCGATAAATTTGGGCTCTCAAGCAGTGTTTGCCGAGCATCGCAAATTTCTTCACTCTGGTGGCGCTTCAGCAGCCAAGCTCATTCTCTCCAAAACCCCTTCTGCTCGTGGCATTGTGTGCCTTCTTTCTTGTCCGAGATGCCCCGTGTCAGAAAAAAAGCACGGCGGATTCAGCCTTGACGTTGGAGGCTCTGATGGACATCAACCCAAACACACTTTGTTGCACTGCCAGTACTCTAGGAGGCACTTGACACGCTATGACCTCCAGCCATCATATCCAACAAAAACTAGGGAGCACTATCTCATTCGAACAAGCATGTTGGAGTCTCTCAGGTCTGACCATGTTAAAGTGTAAAAAAGTGAAACCGATCTGTTTCCAGAAGCGGGTGAAGGCTGCATATCTCTTCCATTCCGTGAAACCCCTGCAACACAAAGCCCCCTGCCACTATAGGCCTTAGTATTAGAAGGTGAGTGTCTTTGGTGTGAAGGTTCCCAAAACCTGTGCACAACCTTTGCTAACCGGGTTCTGGGGAGAATTCATGCACGCTTTCTGCCAAGCCATGGGCTGGAGACGCGTCCGAGTCGAAACCCGGCAACACCGTTCTTGCAAACCCTGAGCAGAGCACCCCGCTTGGAGATGCACCTACGGCCTCGGTCCCCTGCGCCTCGAAGAATACCCAGCCAGACGTGCCACCAGATTGCTTTCTTTGCCGAGTCTTCGGGATCCGAAACTCCGAAACTCCGAAACTCCGAAACGCGGAACGGATCTCCGTGATGGTCTCGTTCTTCTGGAAGCTGGAGCTCTCAGCCTGCCGTTGCAAGGGCCTGCCCTCGATGGGGGGTTTCACTTCAAACCAAAAGAAGACCAACCTGGGTTGTGA